TGAGATGGGGGGAGGCAAGTGGGGGGAGAAAGCATTCTGAGCCCTGGACTTGGGCATGGTGTGAAAGTATTTTCTTTCCCTCTGATTTGCTAGGTTTTCAGACTCTCTTTTTCCATATACATGGATGGTGATGGGTCTCCCATTAAGTTCCCTAGAAGATAAAAGGGGTTTCAGTTTGGAGACCTATTGAACAAGGCAACATATCTTTCCCTGCCTCTAGATCTTGTTGTCTGCAGCTTGTGGAAAGTGCACTGTCCATCTTAAAAGTCTTCCAAATTATCTTTGTATGAACTGAACTGGAGGGAAGGGACTATTTTCTAGTTTAGTAGATTCATTTCCCACATTTCCTTCAAGGAGTTCAAGGTTTCCACATATATAGGTCTCCCCATCCCAGTTCATTTGATCTCTGCTCACAACAACCTTGTGAGTCAATTAGTCTAAGAAATAGTGACTAGGGCAAAATCATCGGCTTCGGGACTGAATCGGTATTAGAATCAGGATTTCTTCAGTCCTGATGGGACAATGTGTGGGCCTGCAGAAGATCTTGGACTGCAGTGCCTATTAGCCTACCTTAATGGCTTTAATGACTGGAACTGATGGGAATCATCACCCAACCAGCATGGGGAGATCTGCAAGTTTTTTTCACCACCTCTACTCTGGACTTACTACTATGCCACTCTGATTCTGTAGGGCTAAACTGGCTTTCCTCTTGATCCATAGTTTGAGAAAATAAAATAATATGCTTACAATATTTTGACCAAGAATTGGAGCCAAGAGATGGCATTTTGTAGAGGAAATCTCAGTTTTGTAATGTAATATGCTGTTTTTGTGATGGGGGAAAAATCAATGTTGAAGGGGGGAAGGGGAGAAACCAAATATACTTTTCAGTTTAAATCAGCTCTACTACCTGGCTATAAGGCACCAATGGACAGAACTATTTACATTTTCTGGAGATGGATACATATTGCCATGCTTTCAAACAATGACAGTCACATTGGTTATCATGCAGTGCAACCAATGGGAAGGAAGCTCACCTGTAATTAAAAAAAAAAAAAAATCCTGTGACAATCACCTCATGAGCTGAGTTGGGAACTGGCAGTAAACAAACATTCCATTGTAAGATCTAGCAGCCCCTCATTTTACAGCACTTTCCTCAACATTAACATAATCTTTCAGTTCTACAGTTGGTTGTGAGTGTGTAATTGTTAGCACACATTTTGGTACCGAAGGAGTCTCAAAGATGCCATCTACAAGATTTTGAAATGCTTCAGTTTATGATGTACACCATGTAATCATTTCTTCCACTAGAAGAATATTCCATGGGTGATAATCATGGCTGTGAGTATACCTTTGTGTGTAATTTGCCACAGTAATTTGGCAGTTGACAGTGAGAGGTACATGGCTGCCATGGGGATGTGAACTATTGCAGTACAGAAACAAAACATTCATTCCACGGAAAGCTAAAGGGAAAGTAACTTGCCCAAGAACCTTAGTTAAAAGGCAAGGTGTGATATATGATGCCCAAAACAATAAAGCCACTCCTTTACGCTGCTAGACTTCTGCTCCAGTGTAACATCCATCTCACAGAAGACAAGTTGTTTCCCCAAATCACCTCTAAATAAAACACACCACCAGTACCCACATGCACACTCCATCCTCCCCACACAGGCCAGTCCTCCACTTTTTCTTCCTCCATGATCCCTAAATTTCGTCCTTCCACTGAGATACAGGTACAGCAGCTCACTTGCTACCTCCACTCCTTTTTCTTGGAATCCACATGCTGACAGCATCCAGTTAAAACAGTTCTCTCTTCTCTCTCTGATGACCCTGTCAAATTAGAACTGCTCTCTGAATTCTGAGCACTGGGGGGAAGAGGGAACAATTCTACCGATCTCTCTTCTCTCTGCTGGCACTGATCATTAGAAGTGTTATTTCTCTTCTCTCATCTTCTTTCTTTAAATTCTGCTGGCCAATTGGGATGGAAAAAGAGGACTTGCAAAGACTATTGTGATGAGAGTTAAGTGAAATTGGTGGCCATTATAATTGTCCAAGGCAGAGGGTGTGGAAGGCTTTTTGGTGTTCTCTGTGAGCACACTGGTGCCCATAGCCACTGCTTTGGAAACTCCATAGGGTCTGCCTGGTCGCTGCCGCCATCATCATCATCATCATCGGATTTCTATACCACCTGTAGCCAAAGCTCTCTGCTAGCTGCCATGACTGAAGCATAGAAATGCCAAAAGAGTTTGTGATTTTTCCCATTCAGTGTACAGAGCTCAAGTTAGTGGGATTCTGAAAGAAAAGAGTTGAATGAATGCTGATACAGCACCACCTCAGCCCCTCATGAAAGACCTGAGACATGGTCTCCTGTGTCCAGACCCTTACAAAGTTCCTTACAAAATGAGTGCTACATTTTCCCACTGTCCTATTGCGAACTTCAAGTCCATTTTCTGCAAAGTGTTTGTATGCAACAGGACTTCCTGTTGGCTTCTTGTGATCATCTTTTTGCTGTCATTCAATAGGAACCACACTTTGCATGGCATTTACACACGTGGGATGGCTCCATAAAGTCAGTCATGAATCTCCATAGGGTTCTTAATTATGTTCTCTCTATGTCTGGCTCCCACAAACAACAGGACAGTTCAGAGTTTTCAGTTCTTGGGCATGTCTAATCAGTACAAGCTGGAATCCCTAAGCCATTCTCCTAAGTATGCTAATGCAGAAGTACCACATGACCATCAAAGGTAAACATGAAGTTGATACTGGATGGGGTGGAGAGTGGTGTTTGACAATGGCAGCAGTTTATAATCTGTCATTAAAGGATTCCCACTATAATCTCACTGCTGCTAAGTTTACTGCAGAAGATCTAGCATCCTAAGTAATGCAGGACTTCACTAACAGCTGTTTCCTTCCTAGGGGGGGCAAATAGTTTCAGAATGGGCCATAGTAGGGGGCAGGATAAAGAAAATCAACCCCCTCTACCCATGCTGTTACTATGAGTTGCACAGCTCCTATTTAAAAAGAAAATAAGGAAACGCAGTACCTGCATATAACATACAATGTGGTTTGGTCATTTATTGCTTGTCTTGTTTTGTATTACCTATACTGTTCCATTCTCAAACTAACCCTATATATCAGTGGATTAGAACCCAGATGACTTGTTTATGACAAGTGCATGCATGATACTGCACAGTTCCAATGTTTAAAGCCCTACATGACTTAAGAACCAAGTACCTGAAGGAAAGTTCTTGTACATTTCCCTGGAAGGTCTGCTGATATAAAACAAAAGAACAACTACACTTGTTTTCATTGTCTTGGGTAATTCTACCCTTTGGAAGGTAGATTATGGAAGGATCAGTTCCTTGTTCTGTTGCTGTTTAACCCTGCTGCCTGGGATAGAGAAAGGTATGTTTTTTTCACTTTGCTATCCCTTTGTCATGTAGGTGGTAAGTTTTTCCCTCGATAGCTCAATCCTTACTAGCACTAGGACCTCCATGAAATTTTACTGTCTTGCAAATATAACTAGCTATTGAAACAGCAACACTGGAGTCTCTGGGAACATAAATACATTTGCTGTGCAGAACACCCAAAGACTCTGCATCTTAAAAGGGAAATATGAAAATTCTGCCCAAGATCAAATTAAAAAGAAAGTTGATAATTACTGGAAACTGGTGGAAACTTGAAGGGAGCCAGCTAAGAGCTTTTTCCATTTCACTCACCCCAACTACAGGGGACAAGCTGGTGATTCTGAGCTCTCCCCACTAGTGAGCAGGTTCCTGCTAAAGGACATGTGGTTATTTGAATGGAATTCCCCCTAGGACTGCATATTGTCTCTGGGACATAAATACTGGAATTCTCCTGATCCAGGGTACATTAACAGAGAGTGTTTCTATGGTACTGGTTAATCTCCACAACCCACAATAGATCTATTTTGGGATTTCGACTGTTCCCCACCAAGGACTTTTGGGCCGGCATTCAGCAGAATGAGTAGGTGGGCCCCCAAACACAGCAGGGATGGGGTAGCACGTTTGAAAATCCTGAGTGAAGCAGTGGGCCTGACCTCCTGAGCCAGCATGCCCTGGTGGTTGGGGGATTAGAGTGGGTCTAAGTAAATTCTGTTGTACAGTCTTCTTGGCCATGAAACTCACCTGGGTGACTTTGGGCCTTGGGCCATCCACTGACTCTCAGCAAAATCTATTTCACAGGATTGTCATGATGATAAAAAGGAAAGGGGGACCATGCAAAATGCCTTGGGTTCCTTATAAGCACAGAAAAGGTGGGATATACAGTGCATGCACTAATGAAATCTAAATCAGCCTTCTCTGCTCTGCTGCAGGTTTGACTGAGGCTGATAGGAGTTGCAGCCAAGTTGGAGAGGACGTATGACCTTAAGATTACCTATCTCCGGTTTTTGTTTGTTTTTTGCATCCTGGTGCCATCAGGACGTTTTGGACTACAGCTGCCGTCCAGCTGACACAAGGGCAAACGACACGCGCGTCTTCTCCTCCCTTGGGCATGGGCTGTGCACGTTTGTGCGGGGTGAGGAGTCAGAAAGAGGAGCTCGGTGCGGTCGGGCCCTAGCCAGCCCCAGAAAGAGGAGTTCGGTCGGGCATTTTCGAGGTGGCTCGAAAGACCTGGGTGGGGAAGGCCAAGGCGGCATGCCGGACGCCCCAGAGGAGCGTCGGGGGGAGCCGAGCGTGGGGCGGAATCTCTGCCTTTCTCCCTGGGCTGCCTCAAGGGGACACGGCCAGCAGCAGCCAGCACAGCCGCGCAGCAGAGGAGGCGGAGCATAGTGGGCAGGCACGCTCCCTCCGCGGCGCGGCGCGGCCCGGCCCGGCCCGGCCCGGCGCGCCGCCACGAGGGTGTGGAGAGGTGTTCTCCCACTCCTCTTTCTGGTGTCCTGTCCGGGGAAGACCAAGCCCCCTCCCCTCCGCTGCACGGCAAGCAGAGCCGGCCGCCCTGCCTCCCGCCCGCCCCTCCCCCTCTGCTCTCCTCCTCCTCTCTTTCTCCAGCCCCGTCGCCTTGTTCGGCGCGGAGCGAAGCTTACGGCACCCGGAGAGGCTGGGAAAGGGAGCTGCGCCCGTCTCTCCGCCAGATCCAGCCCGCTGCTTGCTGCCCGTCTCCTCCTCCCCGCTGGGGTGGTTGCAGAAGTGGCGGAGGCGGCCACGGCAGGGGACCATAGCCAAGGAAGGAGCAAGGAACCGGGGACGGCGATAACACTAGAGGGAGGCTCGCTCCAGTGGAGGAAAGAAGAAAGAGGGAAAGGAGGCAGCCAGGCATAAACACGCACGCACGCACCCACCCACTCGTCCATACCTATTTATGTGTGTGTGTGTGTGTATATATCTATATGCATATACGTGTGCGGGACACTGCACGAACTATCCGTCAAAGGGCTGCAGAACTTGATTTATTCCCAAAAGACAGAGTAGCGACTCCTTCCCATCCACACAGCGCGGGCTGGACCAGAAGAATCCCCTTCCACAAGGATAGAAAGACCCAGACTCTTGAAAGTGACGGAAGACCTTTCTGACCTACTTCCAGGGGGCAAACAGGAGTGTGTGTGAGGTCACGCTCTTCAATATTTTTGCAGTTTTCTCGCATGGTTTTTTCCCTTTAAATATACGTTTGAAAACATCTCCTGTATATATTTGGGAAGTTTTGCTTGTCTTGTGCAGGCAACTGGGTGTGTGGGGAAGGAAAAGAAAAAAGAAGGCATCAGCTTCCTAGGAAATCCTCTTTCTTGAGCTCTAAGGAACCATCCTGAAAGAATAAGCACACTCATCATAATACAAGGATACATCTGGACCCTGTTTGTATTTCCTGGTTTTCCTGGGGCTGAAGATGCTGTCCTACAGCGTGCTGGATGCGAATGTGGTGGATGTGGAAAAAAGGCGAAGCCCTTCCAAGCACTATGTGAGTACAGAGAGATGAATAAACATGCTGGTGGGATATTAATCCCCAATTGTACAAAATGCTGCATGTCCTGGCAGTGCCGTTGGTGTCATCCTTGAAGCATCTTACCAGCTTGCCTAGTGGCATAGGGCCAGAACAATGAGCGGAGAAATGAGGCAGGTGGGAAAGGGTTTTCCTCAGCGTGTCTAACCCCCTTCCCTGTAAACCTTATGATCACCTTTATGGCCAGGTGAGAAGATGGGGCTTTTACACACATTTTCTCTTGGTGTGATCACATCTCTGAGATACAGTCTTGTATATCAGAGGCTCTAAGCTGGACACCAGAAACTAACTTGGAACAGGCTCCAGGGAGGAAAAGGCACCTTGCAATGTGGTCTCAATAGTGCACACAGTGGGTTTGTGGGTGTAGAGTGAAATCCCTTCCACTTTATGTTACGGGGTTATGTTATGTTTAGGTGTGGGGGATATTTGGCAACTCCCGTGGGAAGGATGATAGACATTGTCGTCCAACAGCAACCGGAGGGCCATATGATCTGTATTTCTGCTGTATTTAACAGTCCTTCGCTGAATGAAGTGCTTCTGTCCCAGCAACACTGTTTCATTTCTGGTCTGTGTTGGTGGGAATCAATGTTTGGTGCAAGAGTTCTGATTAGGCAAGATGGTGCTTAGGCAACTCTGCTTGCTTGAGTCTGCAATACCAGCATGGACCCATTGCCCACTGGTCACACTGACTGGCCATTCTTTGCCCTGCACAGACAGGATAAGATGCACCTCATGTATTTGAGCCACCTGGGCTTACTTGAACCAACTTACTTGCTTGGCCACAGTGCATGTTTGACAAAGGTGCACCCAAGTTTCTTCTGCTCTCTGGTTATGATACATTCAGATCTGTTTATCTTTCCTCTTCTGTCATTCAGTGCACATTGCTCTGTGATACCAATCAAGCTTTACAAATCATCACTAAAAAGGACATTTCTTACTGGAGTTCATTGGAATGTCTTTAAGGACCCCAATGTTTTCCTAAGCAGATGGTCTGGTTTCTCTGTCACTGTCTGGTGAATGATCATGGCTTGACTTTTTCACTGGAGATCCAGGGCCATGACTTGTACCTGAACCCTCAGTTGTTCTCTTTGGCTAAGGCTGCTCATGAAAATATGCAGTTCTCGCTGTGCTCCTATGGGTGCAAGCCAGGATGCAAGCACAGACAGTGTAGGAACAAAAGAATGACATTGTAGTGATCAGAATGACATTGGAAAGAATGAGACCAGCTCTGTTGACCCAATATGAGAGTGTAGGAACAAAAGAATGACATTGTAGTGATCAGAATGACATTGGAAAGAATGAGACCAGCTCTGTTGACCCAATATGAGAAAGTACAGAGAAGTTCAGATTGCTCGCAAAGACTTTCTTCCCACAAAAGCAGTGTTTGATCATGAGAGTTTTGGCAAATATGCTTGACTCTCTCAAGGTTGCCTGCGGTTGAATAAGAAATGGGTATATTTCTGTTTTCATTCTATGCTGTAATCAGATATGGAGGTGGGTGAAATGTTGGCTGGATAGCTATAGAACATTTGAGCAGTTCTCTATATCTACAAGTTCCCATCTGCTTTTACCATCACCACTAGACAAAAGTATCTCAGCTGGATTCCCAAGTGGGAAACTGGGCACCAAGGAATAGTTCCCCACTTCCAACATTCCTACTTTAAAATGTTGGCTTTACATATTCCTGTAAGTTGTGAAGAACCTTCATGTTGGCTACTACAGGTGCTCTCAAGGGTAGGGAGGTTGGAGAATGTAAGAATGGAATCAAATGAGTGTGAATTTCTGTGCATCCAACCTGCAAGTTCCACAGTGGGCTGACTTTTCCTGACTTGTAGAAATAGCTGTGCGAATTCTTCAGACCTGCACACTTTTTTTTACTCTTTTGAGGTATTTGTGCAGATGTGCATTAGTGCAAGCAGAATGAAATTCTCATACATTTTCTAAAGAAAACACAACACACAGTTACATCGGTGAATGGACGATGGAATGGAAGAAATCTAACAATCTACAAAACAGCTTCAGAACAGAGTTAAAATCTTGTAGATCACTGTGCAAGGTAGGAGCCAGCTTTGTCCATGAAGCAGTTGAAGCAACCTGCCTTAGGCAGGGCAAGGGTAGGGGGAGCAAAGGCAGAATTGGTATCTGAATGGTGCAGAGCCATTTGGAATCTGCTTTAGGTAGCACAGTGCCTTGGGCCACTGCCAATGGTCAGTCATGCTAGTCATGATTCTGCTTCCTTGGGCTTAAAGTTAATAGTATCAGGAAGTGGAGCTGAAAAAATAAAAAGCAATCCTGTCACCCTTGTATCAGAAGCTTGCAAGCCTCGTGCAAATGAAGGTGTGACGGCAGCAATATTTACCACTGCCCTGCCTCATGCCCTGCAGTTTAGCTAGATGGCTATTTTTGACCATGTAGATAAAGCACCAGGAATAGGGATGGAAGGAGGCTGGAGTGCTGATTGGAATCATTGCAACTTTAGATTGACTGTGCTGTGTTGAAAATGTTTACCTACTTCTACATGAATTAATTAACAAATGTACCATTTAGTATTTATGATCTTCTTCCCATTTGAGCTCTTTGTAGGATGCTGTTTGATTTCCCAGACTGCTACCTGGTTATCTGATGTATTAAATCAATATTGGCTGACTTGATTCATCCAAGAGTGCTTTCATGTGCAAGGTTTAACCTGATCTTCAGGATGCATATTGGAAAAGGGTGATCAAAACCCATCCACAGCTTCAGGCCAAAGGCACATACATGTATGCCTTTTCCTCATTTCTGTACATTAGTGCTGGCTAAGTGAATCCAGCTGCCATTATGATATTGTTCCCTCCAGGCCTTTCCGTGCACTTTGTTCAATCTGGTTTTAAATGTCTCACTGTTGCAATATGAAAAGCTTGATTTTTGCCTGTGTTGAGAAAAGAAACATCTGTGGCATTTTCTACCCAAGGTCAACATTGCAGAGGGGTTACTTTCAGCATGTTGATTGCAGCTCTTATCTCTCACTTTCGGTCAGATGTTTGGATCTGTATGGGGAGCAGCATGCTCAAATATTTGTGAGTGTGATGCAGCAGTACCTTCCCAAATGTATGCCAAGTTTCATGGTTCCAGGAGATAACAGAGACGTCACCAACTCTGACAAAGCCTCAGTAAGCACAAGATTTGCTCACATTTATCCCTTGTCTCCCTTATCATTCCTTTATGTCTTTGAAGTATTAGATTATAATCTCCTTCGGGCCAATTTTGTCCTTACTGTTGCGAAGTGCCATGTGGCTGGGTTGGGTCCAAACATCCATGAACAGAGTTCTGCTCACAGGATGTTCCTGCTCATGGAAGCAGAATTCCTCTGCAATTCATCCTGAAGTCCCTGTGCCACCCACCCCAAATGCTTTGCAGAGTTGACAGGTACTCCAGAGCAGCATGACTGGTGCAGCAGGAAGCAACAAAAGAAAGTAAGAAGTGGTGAATATTGCTTCCTCTCCTTCTGGGAGCATGGGTTGCTTCTGGAAGGATAGGTTCCATTTGTGGAAGAGCTGCACTGGATCCAACAGCTGATGACATCGAATACATGAATCCATAATAATTCAAGCAGATGTCTGTTGATCTATCCATCTGTCAGCACATAGCACCCAGCCTGTGCAACCTAGGCACCGGGAATGTAACATGCATTCTAAGGCAACCCTAGGAATGTGCAAACCAATGTTACTTTGTTTTCAAAATGCATGAATTAATTTTAATGAGTCTATGTGCGTGAAAGCTGCAGTAACATTGTTATTCACTGGGACAGTCTTAAGAATGTAAGAAAAGCCATGCTGAACAGACCAAGGGTTCATCTAGTCCAGTATTCCATACACTTGGTGGCAAACCAGCTGCTCACAGGATCCCTCCAGAAGGATGGGTGCAGGACCCAAGCAACTTACTAGCACATAGCCAGTAATGCCAGTATCCACTGGTAGCCTTCTTTGATTTCTAACCTTGTTTGCTGTCATATAGTTTGAGGCCGATGGATACGAGCAGGCTGAGGGAGTTATAGGAAGGCCTGCTTCTTCCTCCTGTGGAACAGCCTTCCCAGAAGAATGATGTGGACAGAGCCCTGCCTCAGAGGGCTGTAAGGATGTATCATGCCAGGGGCCCCATCTAAGGATGCAAGTGGTCATGTCTCCATTCATAGAAACAGAGAGTCAGAAGGGGCTCCCTGGGACATCTAGTCAGACCCCCGGCTCCAGCCAGCTCCACTCATGTAATCCCCAAAATGTGATTGTCCAAATCTTTCCTTAAACACCCGCACTGGTGGAAGCCCATTCCATATCTTAGAGGTCCTAACCATCAGGAAGTACTTCCTGATACCTGGTTCCTGGAGCTTTGTCCCATTGGACTGCATCCTTTCCTCCACTGCAGTGGAGAACAGGTCACAACCCTCTACTGTGTGACATGCCTTCACATACCTATATGTCACTAAAATATTGCCTTGGAGTCCCAGCTCCCTCAATTTCTCTTCATATTTTATTTATTTATTTATTTTTCAATTTATATCCTGCCTTTTTCCTACGAAGGGCTCAAGGCAGCTTACATCATTCTCCTCCTCCATCTTATCCCCACAACAACAACCCTGTGAGGAAGGTTGGGCTGAGAGTCTATGACTGGCCCAAAGTCACTTAGTTGGCTCCATAGCTGAGCGGGGACTAGAACCCAGTTTGTCTGAGTCCCAGTCCCTTGCTCTTAACCACTACACCACACTGGCTCTCCGTATGTCATCCCTTGCAACCCAGCTACCATTATTGTGGCCCTGCATCATTCAGACAGGGCTGGCACAGTGTACCCTACTTGAACAGCATCAGATTTCCTTGAAGAATTTGCTATGGACTAGTCCATTTTCTGGTAAATAATATCCCTTTAAAAATAATGTCTGAAGCCACAAGTGATGAGGAGACGGGATGGATTTTTTTAGAGCCATACTA